CTACGAACCGGCCCTTCGTTCCAACCGGGCCGGTCCCGGTTCCACCATTTCTGGACCCGTGGCCCGGCGGGCCGGGCCCGGACCCGGCACCTGGCCACGTCTAGTTCCCTACATTTTAATTTTACAAATAATACTGCTTATAATAATGAACTCTTTTAACTTATATCATTTAAATTCATTTAATTAATAAATAAATTTATTACTTTGCTCAAAAAACATATATAATGTGATAATAATAAATAATTCTTTTTTTGGGGTACAATAAAGGAGGCGTAGATATAAGATTACGATGCTAACAATTTAATAGTTGTAATTTTTGAATGAAATTTGATAATTAGTGCATCAAAATATATGTAATAAAATATGTTCAGATTTTCCGCGTGGTAAAAAAAGAAAAAAAGAGGACTCACTTGGAGGAATAAAGGAACTGGATGAAAGCATAAACCGCGTCGTGTGGGACGCCGAGAATCTGGATTTTCCGGGCTACGGTCCGGTGCTTCTGCGGCCGCTCTATAATGTTCTCCAGCACTGGCGATGCCGACGCCTGAAAATTAATCAATCGTCTCAATATTCCACAAAATGAATCCAAAACTCTAATTATAAATCTCCTAATTTACTCACTATTCACAATAATCGATCTTCAATTATGCAAAAAATAAATAAAAAAAAAAATAAAAAAATTGAGATGTAATTTGGCAATTCAATAGTAATGAAAATTCAACTAACCAATATTTTGGAGTGAGCCGGGAAGCGCACCCCTGAGGAGGTGACGACGAGGATGTCGGGCTCCGGCATTTCGCCGGCACCAACTCCGGCGAACGGAGGGATCGATTTAACTCTCATCTTCTCGGAGAGTTTCTTCTTTAGCTGAACCATAGTTAAAAAATATCGATAATTCTCTTTTTTTTTTTTTTCCGTGGAGTGTATTTTTTTCTCTGGTTGTGGGGAGCTTCAGTTTGCTTTGCGCCGTGTATTTATAGACGCCTGATGAAAGCTTTTCATCGGACGGTTTATTTGAATACCGGACCGGGTAATGAACCGAGGTGAGTGGGATCCATCACGCGCGCTGTCGGGAGCGTGTTTTGCAGTCCTAGATTTGGCAATTTGGTCAAAAATGAGAGACATGCTGTAAATTACTATACAAGATATTTTGTATCAATTTTTTTTTATTATTATTATTATTATTATTATTATTATTATTATCTTTGTACATAGAAAAGGTGTATCAATGAAATTTGTAATTGTATAACCCTTCTTTTGTCTAAATTTATGAGTAAAGTTGGGTCACTTTTGCATTTCGTTTATATCATTTTTGTTTAAATAACCGGCATATTTGTGTTTGCGTAGTATTGTTGAATTTAGGTTGCTAGTGTGCAGAATTCCTTGATTCAATTGTATTAATTGTTTTAATTTAACTGATTTAAGCTTTATTTTGTAACTTTTTGTTTAGATTAAGATATGTCGTTTTGGAAAAAAAAAATATTAAAAATAAACATATATACTTACTTTTGACTGTAATAAGATGATAGCACCAATAAAATCATTATGAAAATGAGTTTACCTTGATATTATGATAATGTAATGATTATGCACCAATAAACATATATCCATTTTATTGTGTCCATGTTTTTTCTATCAAATTATGATAATGTATTATCAAAAGCTCTTCAAACCAACCCTTTATCCCTCTCTATTTTTATAAAAATAAAAGAAAAAATGGTTGAATAAAAAGTGAAAAATAAGATTCAAATAAGTGAAAAGTGTTGTTTCATATATACTACATTTATTATACCAAAGTGTTACTATCAAGTATGGATAAGAATGGGAAAGGGGTCACATATTTACAAGAACAAATGGCCTTTTGAATCCACAAGCGCCTTTCAAAACCTAGTGGCCTTTTTTTTTTAATTCCACGTGTCATCCTAATCCCTTCCTATTCAGTTTCCAATTTGTCACAATTTAAAATTGCTACAAAATTGGTGCCACCTGTAAGCCCAGCTGCCACGTATGCAGTAGTAACGAAAGCCGATCTATTCTTCTGTATGAAGTATGCATCTATTGGTTGGTTCATGAATAATGAATAATGACAAATGTGAAGGGGAAAAAGGAAAATGTTCATACGAAATATATATATATTTTTTTATGAGACATGTCACTTTATATAATTTGTTGTTTTTTTGTATTTTATTGTTAATATTTATTTCATTCCTTATAATAATGTCCAACTTGTAGTAATTTATTTTATTTAGTGTTTATTTGTTGATATATGGGATGAGACAGTTCATTTTTACCAAATAATATCTAAGTTTTATAATAATAATAAGAGGTGCCTAATTAAATTAGATAGACCTCATTGCATTTTGTGATAGCTTCAACTGGTGCTTGTTCTTCCTGTGCAATTCATATCCTTCATATAAACATAATAAATAAATAAATAAATAAATAAATAAAACATTGCCAAATGCCAACAACTCCATATGATGGTACACCCATTGTTATAGGCTAGTCTTAATTAGTTGTTTTGTTGCCATGATTACGAGAATTTATTTAAGGACAATTAGTTAAGTTCTAAATTATATTTTAAAATTATTTTTTCGTGCAGACGTGGATCCTATTAATATGTGATAGATTAAGACTTGGCCAATATTGGCTGGATAAGCTCTTAGTCACGCAGCCCTCTTAGTAGCCAATCAAAATTTATATTCTTACGTTTACTTGGTTCAAAAAGCTTTTTGACGGTCAATAAAATAAAAATTTTGAATAGCGTTAAGAAAAATATTATTATTATATTTATAGTTGAGGGCCAGTTTTGTTGTTCCTACGTGTACTGGCTGACGTCATTGCACACGGGATTAATCAGCACTACCTGTCCTAGTTGTACACCATGGCGGTCCGCTACGTACAAGGGATAATTAATATGCATTTTGCACAAATTAAATATAATCAGGTTTTGACTACTTGTGAAATTAATAATGAACGATGGTCGTAAATTTTTTATTTTGGTTATATATGTTTGAGAGGGAAAATACTACGGTCCTGTTACGAAACCATTCTGTCGGAATCTGTAACCGTTAGATCATCATGTAACCGTCATGAATAGTTGATCTAACGGTTACAGACCCCGACAGGATAATCTAATTTATTTATTTATTTATTTATTTATTTTTGGTCACATATGCTTGAGAGTTGCAATTTGAATTTCAACATTGATGCTTTGGTATTGAGAAGCAACCAAGTAACGTGATATGTATTGATATCGAAATATCAAACCAAAATGTTTTTTTTTTTAATGACTTTCGTGAATGAAATAGTAATTTGAGGATTTAAGAGAAAAAATATTAGATATATTTGGTCTGATTTATAATAATTTATGGTTGTTATTTGCAAAGGTAATGGATTGAAGATATATATATATACACGTGTTGGTTATATCCAAATGACTCGGCCTTTTAATTATCATCCATTATTATAACTCCAGTGGGACCTTTCCTTGTTTCCCTGTTTTAATTTGAATAAATTGATGTCCATAATAATAATAGTTATCATCCATATAACTCCATATAGCTATTTTTGCAACTGTTATCATTTTCTGTGAACATGCTTGATTGTTTTAGGGGAAATAAACGGACACCATGATTCCGCTCGTGATGGCTGAACTTTTTGTTACATATGAGACAGTTCATAATGAAATCTCCCCGTGAAAATTGGAGATGGGACTCTCCAATTCTCCTAGGTGGACTAGTCCACCTCTCTCGGTGTGGAGTCTGTAGCTTGTTTGGGTCATGGACCGGTTAGGCCCGTACCATATGGTGGGGCTTGGCGAGTGACTTGGGAGTGCGTGGTGAGACCCTAGATGAATGTAGGGATACCACCTAGTAAAAAAAAAAAGGAAAAACAAATAATGAAATCTCCATCTCATGTACATGGCCATCGTCATTTGGGTAGCCCAATTTATGCTGAATCAATCTGCTCATAGGATTTAGCCCAACTCTAGCTGCTATTGTTGAAAAAATGACGCCCCTTGACTATATACTTAAACATTTTATAATACAGAGCTTGTTCACTATTTAGACAACATTATTCCTTTGTATTTTCATATTTACTCTTTTTTCAAATTAACAGTTTATCTTTATCTTTATTTTTTTCTCTCTCTTTTCTTTTCTTCTACACGTTTCTTCTCTCTTTCTTCTTCCCCTTTTCTTCTCCTTCCCTCACCTCTTATATCTCCTTTTTATGTTTATGCTTTTTTGGCCAATTTTTCTCAAT